GCAACCTGAGGAAACCTCAGGCTCCGCGCCTCACCTCGTCGACCGGCGCACGACGTTATCGATCGTTAATGATCGCGATCGCGTCACTACACGGTAAATTTTACCTCATGAAGTATTCGGCAACATCAGCGGGATGCTGCACTGAAACCAACAGTGACGTGGCATCAACAAACGTATGGAAGGTGGCTGCGGGCAAAATGCCACGGATGCAGCTATTTTCAGCCTTTACCGTGGTGAAAGCGTGCAGATATATGACATGACTCGGTATAAGCATTACATCAGTGCCTCTGCACCCCACCCCGACAATACACTAGGAACGCCGCCACTAGGCATAATTATCCAAAAACCGCTTGGAAACTGGTCAACTCAATGAGCAGTTTCTATCAATCCATTTACAGCGCTAGAAATACACCTGTACTTAAAGCGTGGGCTATGGATGGTGACTGTCGAAAGAATCGAAAAAACAGTTGACATGAAGGGGGAAAACATGAAACGCTTCAAAAGCACATGAAAGCTGAACGTTATTTCAAAAACTGTATTTTTATTATGTATCATTACTGTTTCGAAGCAGAAGTTTAGAGGGAGAAGGTTCAAAACCATAAGTAATGGCGGGCATGTTGCGACCGGAGCGATTTGTTGCAGATGACCAGCTGGCCCAACCAATATTAATTAACCTAAAAATGAAAATTAATTTAGCATCCTATATTTCTGTCAATCCGTTTCGATTGCATGATCCACTAAAACTTACAGGACGCAGAGTCGGGCGGTGTCCACAACGTTTTCGATGCTGTCTGCGATTCAGCTTCGGCGAAGCTATCCCGAGCATAGAACTGAGTCCTGAAAGAAAATTTCTCCAGGTCATTCTTAGTCGTCCCCGGGGTCTTCGGCCGATCGGCTGGATAAGCAGCAGCTGTTTCGCCCTCCTTCTGCAGGCATTCGAAAGATGACCCAAACCATCGCAGTTATCACTTCTCAATCTGGAGAAAGAGGGGCTGTATACCAGAAGAAAGGAAAGTCTGCAATAGTTAGTGTCCGTCCTCTTGACACTTACAACCCGAGACAAATTTTAGCACCCTTGTTTGCATGAAGTTAATGGTAGGAACACTAATCTACATTTCAATGTCAACAGCCATGAGTGCCTTTTTCTTTCTTTTTTATAAGCAAAATCAGCAGCAGCTATGTGGCAAGTATAGTCTGTATTCTCCTACTTCTTCTTCACTCATTTATCAACATCCAAAAAAAGAAAAGCGAATGACCCCGACAGGGGCTCGATCCCAAAACCTCTCGGTTCTGACTTAGACGCTTCGTCCACCGAGTAACCCAGGCAAAGTGTGATAAATCCCTTGCCCCAGGAAATTCATGGTAGGGACTAAGATTGCCATGCGCGGAAATCGAACTCTGCACCACTGGGATTCGAAATCGAAGCCGACGTCTTGCCCACTGTACGCCATGCTCTACATCAAAGCTGATTCGGCTGTCTGAACTTCAGATGCGTAAACCCAGAGATTCATTTCAGAGAGCCGATTTAACCCGCTTGTGCCCGAGATCGAAGAGTTTCGGTCATGGCCCAAGATTCGTGTCCATAGGTCAGTATGGGAATGAAGATCGACTTGAAAACAAACAGCTTCTAGTTCAGACTCTTCAAACTATCACGGTTTGGGCTAATTGATGCAAAATGCCGCTGGCCGTTTCGGTATGCCAGTCGATCTCCTCTTCCCATTTTCCATCACCAATAAACACGACCCAAAGGTACGTGAATTTCTCCACTTGCTCGGCTGCTTCTCCGGTGGCGTGGCTGAACAGAGCGTATGAAGGTTACCTCGTTTTCGAAAAAAGATTTACTGCACGTTGTTATATACCTGGGTTACTCGGTCGGTACAGCGTGGAACTCGGAACCGGCAGGTCCCGCATTAGAGCTCCTGTCGGAATGGTCACTTGCTTCTTTTTGACGCTGGTAAATGAGCATCACCCCAGTAAATGAATGAACAAGCAAGAGAACACAGACTATGTTTGTCACATTGCTGCCATCAATTCTACCTTCAAAAGTAAAACACTCCAGTCTGATGATATGGAAATGAAGATTAACGCCCCCAACATTAACTTCATGAAAAGAAGAGCGCAAGAGCGGCACCATCATGTAAGTGTAAGAAAGACTGACATTATAACGATTACAAACTTTGCTTTTCTCCGTCTAACCACAGAGCGTAAAAGAAAGGATAACTAGAAAAACCTATTCTTACCTTTTGAGCGCGTTCACACGCATGCAGACAACGTCGCAGTCGGCTGCAAACCTTTCTAGGGCACAATGTAGATCGGTTTCAGAAGATGCCAAAAAAAGTCGTCTCCAAACAGCGACGCGTCTTTACATCTCCTACACTCATCGCCCTTGCTGCGCCTGACTATTCTATCCATGCACAACACAATCAGTAGAGGTGGCAGAAGGCAGACTTGGCGGAGACAAGTGCCATGCCTCGATTTAATGCCATTTATTCTGACGCAGCACTTGCTATCAGCATATAGTGATTGGATGGTCCGTTGCAACTGGCCATCGATCCCATATGTTTGCGGGCACGCTCATAGCTTATTGCACGAAATCGGGTCATACATGGACCTGCTCAAGGTCAAAAACACATATCAACAACCTGATGAACGAATTCTCACGATTTCTCAAGGATCTGTACGGCGAAGACCTCGTCAGAGATGTTTCGGCTTGACCTGAAGCTACACTGATCCTTTTCGATCTTAGAGTCAACTATTCTGCAGTACTTCTTTTCTAGTATCTTTGCGTCGAATTTTGCCGGGAGGCTCAGTAAATTAATGCCCTGATATTTGGAGTAATACCTTCGATGAACCTTCTTTCACAAGGGTACCAGAACCTCCGTAGTTACTGTTGTAGCCCATGTCTTACTCGCAGCCGTTGTAGTCTGACAGACACATGTTCGCTCTTTTAGCTGATGTTTATTTTTTCATAAAACAGTCCTGTTTCTTTTGCAGCTTGGCGTTTTAAAAAAAGGACTGATCTTTCATTGTCATAAGCGTCACCTTTGCCATCATCGCCTGAACTGTATAAGTTTACTTCCTCAAAGCAATTTACTATAGGAAAATATCGAAAACGTTCTAAGTTCAAATTCGTTGCCAATTACTCTTTACACACACCGCTCGCCAATCGCACAAGGCTTATTCTCTTCTTTGTGATCATGATCCCGTTCGCCATCATAATGGCATTTTAGCAAGAAAGAGTTTGCAACTTCCCGTCACATTTTCTGACGATCGATTCACTCATGTGTGAACTGAACAACAGCAATAGGAATCTTCCCCGCGCTCGCAGGACACGTGACGATGACGAGTGGCTCAAGTTTGAGGTACAAATCATGACCTACTTGATTTAATTGAATTTGAGCTTTCAGATCACAACCTCGTGGTTACTGTAGGAGAATGGCCTTCAACGTTGTGATATATGGACGAAAGCCAGCAGTCTTGTATCATAAATTCTCACTGGACTGCCACAATATTTGTGTAACTATTTGCATTTTTCTGGGCGTCGCCGCCAAAAGCACGTGAGAGCAGCGAACTGTTCTCAACCGCGACCACTAGGAAACAAAGTTAAGCGAGCTTTTCCCACGATGCTGAAATGCCAACACCCGCAGAGACCTTGCCTACGACAAATAGAGCGTCCCATGGAGGTGATAAATGTGACCATTTCAACCGCTTGTCGAAGCATAGACAACTTCCGTGCGTGGTACTGTATTATCGTTCAGTCAACTAGCGAGAAACTATCAGTTTTAAGGGCAGCAAAGTAGGTTTGAAGCGTGACTTGACCATGACCCGGGCGTGGCCGTTCTTAGTTTGCGAATTGTACATATTCCTCGGTGCTTCTGTCTTTCCTCGCTTTTTCTAACTTGCAGTGTCTTTGTCATTGCAGGTAATCTGCTTCATGTTTCGGAGCAGCGTTATTTTCTTTAGACGGTAGTATATATTCTCAGTTGTTCATCTGAACCCATTTTATGATCTTCATAGTCGTGAAAATGAACTGTTCAAGTTTTATTAATTCCTTAATTTTTGTCGAACATTTGGTCTTCCAAGTTTTACACGTTTCGGTCTGTACTGACTTTATCAGCGGCAATAGTCCGACCCTATGAAACGATAATGAGAACGGTACGCATACGGCACGTAGCACTTTTCTAATTCGAATCTATGGCTCAGCCGGCCTGATTTAACAGCCTCGCTTAGTACTCGCGAATCACGGTACATACGCTCTATGTAAACAGAATGTTTATGCCTGGCGATCAACTGACTGACTTAATGACTGCACATGCCCTCTTAATGCAACAGTGTAGAAAACGGAAACCCCTGACAAAAATCTGACAGAGTTACCCACCTGTACACAGTAAAATTGGGCAGGTTATACTGAGTTTGGACGGAAAATAAAGCTCAGGTTCGGTAAGGTACGTGATCATTTAGTTTTGCCACCTTCGCGGCGACCGATCGCAAACCAACTACACTGTGCATACATGACCCTAGGGGCTAATTAAAAATGCAAACATTTAGCAGTGTTGCTTATTTATCAAGAGTGTGGTGCAAAATGACAGTCATTTCTGGCCCATTCAGAACGTAACGAACCTCTTTGCCACGGCAGGCAAGCACGTTACGCAAAACATATCTCCTCCTGTAAAAGAAGCAGCGAAAATCATGGCAACCAATGCGGGATGTCGACCTGATCGAGAATTAATCTTAAAAATTTTTATGGCCAACTGTATTACAGATTTTGACCAGCTGAACGAGTTTTCTGTTTCGTAAGCCCGGTTTCTCAACGGGTCAACAGCTGGGCATGTATTAAAGAAAAAGGATTTTTTACGTCGTCGCCCCGGGATTATGAAGGTTTGCGCAGGCTGTTCAGGCACTGAGGCAGGCTGCGAAAACTCTGCGATCATCCAGTTCTGGCATCTCATTACGTAACAGCACAACAACGACTGCCAAAGTTCGGCGAAACGACGTCCAAGATATCAGCCAGCAATGGACTCGCTACTCGTTATGAACAGATGAGGCAGATATCGCGATGCCATTATAGCATAACAGAAAAGGTTCCACGAGAACGACACCACCAGGGAAAGCTTAAAGTCGGAAATTGGAACGTTACCTCACTCAGAGGAAAAGAACAAGAGTTAGTTGATGAGGCAATAAAGCACCAACTCGACATTGTTGGACTCTCGTTAACGAAGCGCGAAGGCTCTGGATTCCTGAACCTCAACGGATGGAAGTTATTCTACGTAGGTGTCGATATCACGACTCGCGCTCAGGCCAGTGTTGGTGTTGTGGTAGAATCAGACCTCGCAGATAGAATTATTGCTTGAAAGCCTGTCAGCGGAAGGGTGGCAGTCCTCCGACTGAAGTTACAACGGGTTAAAGTGTTGACCTTGTTGCGGCTAATTTAGAGGGAGAATATGATTTCTTCCTTGAGGAAGTGGAGTGTGCACTGAACGAACTGCCGAATACAGAGGCCCTCAAACTTCTGGGCGATTTCAACGAGCATGTCGGAATAGAAACTGAAAAGTGTAAAGGCGTAATTGGAAAGAACGGACCTTGCAGCCTCAGCAATAACGGCATGCAGTTGTTGCGGTTTTGGGCAAACAAAGGATTGTCTATTATGAACTCCTTCTTCGAGCACCGAAGAGTCATCAGTGTACCTGATACAGCGAAGCTTCTGATACAGAAGTCGATTATCAATTAAATAATCGTATCGTCTGATTTACCACACTTTGTAATAGATATTACAGTTAAGAGGAGCATAGGTCTGTCAAACGATCACCACCTTATTGCTGGCACGCTACGATGTGACGAATGAAGTACGACGTGACAACATGATGGCACAAGCAACTGGAGAAATAAATGGAAAGCATATCTTCAAACAGGCCGCGTCAGAGCAGGAAATAACAGATGAAGATGAAGAAGATGATATCTTCAAACAGTTAAACAATCTTCGGCAGATATGAGAGCGAAACTTGCGAACAACATCACACGACGATTCCAGTGATGACCGCTTTTGCAAAAACCGAGTGGTAGCTGTTTAACAACGGCGTACTCGGGGCTGCCATTAAATACTGTGAATTCCATGGGTTGGCCTGCTGTCTGAAAATCAGGAAAAAACTTCCTGGTGGACACGAGAGGTATAACTGGCAGTTAAAGAGAAAAAGGCTGCATTCAAGAAATGGCTTGGAAACATAGAGCCTTCGACTCGCGTGCGATATTTCGAAGCACGCAAGGCGGTAGCAAAAGCTATGGCAAAATCCAAATCCTGATTCCTTGGAGGTATTGGAGTCAAATTTACACACAGCAAACAAGGTATATTGGCAGACCATTCGCCGGCTCCTAGGTGAAAAGCAAGACAGTCTAGGAGTCTTGAAGGACAGGTCTGAACACCCTCTTACTGAGGACACTTGAGGAACTCCTTAGTTTCGAGCAACCGCAGAAAGACTCGCTTGTAAAGCAGAAGGGTACAGATGTTACCATCTCAGTAGATGAAATTACACAATCTTGTGAAAAGCTTGAAAAGGGGAAAAGCTGCTGGAACTGATGAAATCTGCAATGAAATGCTCAAAACATTAGGTGAACAAAGCATGTACTGGCTTACACCGATCTGTCGAACTGCAGTGGCTACGGGAAAACACCAACGGGCGAAGAACGGGAGTTCTAGTTCCCCTGTTCAAGAACGGAGACCACAGGGAGTGCTCGAATTATCGGTGTATTACCTTACTGAGCCTCCGGAGTAAAGTCTATGCAAAGGTGCCGCGGAATAACTGACTCCAAGATACAAGAAGAGCAGTGTGGCTTCGGTCGAAACATATCTGACCATATATTTGCCCTACGCCACCCAAACTGTCAAGAAATCATGGAAGTTCGCACATCCAGTGAATATGTTTTATTGATCTAAAGAAAGCCTATGACCGGATCCCGCCCAGCAGTCCATGGGAATGCCTGCGAACATATGGGATCGATGGTCAGTTGTTACGAGCCATTTAATCACTATATGCTGATAGCTAATACTGTGATAACAAATGGCATCAAGTCGAAACCTTTCAGCGTTGGTAGTTCTCTCTGCCAAGGCTGCGTCCTGTCCCCTCTCCTGTTTGTGTTGTACACTGATAGAGTAGTGAGGAGCACGCAAGGCGATGAGTATATCAGTGTAGATGTCGAGACGGGTAAGCTGCTGTTTGCATACGAGCTTGTTGTATAGGCATCTTCTGGAACTGATCTATAGTGTTCGATCTGAAAAGATTCGCAGGCGACTGCGACTTGGCCAACATAGGTGTGAACGCATATAAAGCAAAAAGTATAGCGCTTACTCGTTCTCGGCACTGAAATCGATTTCAATCCGATGCTTAGTCGTGTCAAAAGTTCGATCCCGGGTACAAGCAGCTAGAATCGGCTTTACGCGTCTCGATGTTGTCGTAAATGCAGAAATCCCAAGAATTTCGTTGTGCAGGCGGTGGTAAAAGTTGCGATGGTTTGGGCACGTATTGTGAATGCCTCCAAAAAGGAAGTCTACGCAAGTAGTACTTGCCCAGGCGATCGGTAGAGGCCCAAGGGGAGATCAAGATTAATCTGTTGCAAATATACGGAAGGAGTTTGCTCTAGATTTCGGTTCTCTTGTGCAGAGGATCGGGAATGTTGGAAGCGCTGTCTGACGCATCTGACTTCACAGCCCGAAAACAGAAGAGGTCATGGAAAGTGAAGTAAATTTTCTGACTGGTTTATTGAAAAAAATGTTGTTCCTGTCAACACAATGAAGCTACTACTGGTCACAAAACGGAGTTAGTGTTTCTTTGCAGACTATTTTGGTTGAATTCCATGCATGAAGTTGTTCTCCGAGGCGTCGGCCTTAACGGTCAATACGCCATTCCTAATTACAAAACGTTTAACCTTTCACTGAAATGCTTCAGATAAGGAATAACCATGAAACAGCTTATGAAATCTTGTTGTAGAATATGACAGTCCTCATTGTCTAACTTTTCGCGTCTAGTTTTGCAAATCTTACACATTCTCTCAGTCAAGTCACGACACTGCTATCACTCAGATTTGTTTTCGAAATGAAGGGGATGGGTAAATACCAGGAAGGAGCGGTGCAATACGCCGTGAATCCTGGTCTTAGAGTAGTCATGCGCTCATGCGCCTTATACCTTTTGTGATAAGTAAGTAGTTCAGCTTTGACACCTTTTCTATTCAACATCGATATCAACGATATGCCATCAACATCATCACGAAAATTCGCCTCCATAAATGGAATAACACTCGAATTTCGAGAAAGAAGTCTTGACCAGGTAAACGAACGGAAAGTAGCGAAACGTTTTACCACCTTCGTCCCAGCTTGTCAAAAACAAGTGTTGCCGGCATTCGTATCACAAGCGTCAAGAAACGACTTTCGTAGTGTTGCTGTAGTGATCGAGTGGGACACGAAGCTTGGTCAAAAATACTTTGTAGTATCATTAGATCGCAGCCTTATGCTTCGAAAACACCTACGAATGAACTGTAAGAAGACCCACAGCAACATTCTGCAAAAGTATGCTGGAACGACGTGGAGGTAAAACGGACTTAGCCAGCAATCGCGACTCTTTACTCCACCTTGTCAACAGTACTCGCAAACGTTATCTCTTATCCGATATCAGGACGCATATCCACAAGAGAATCCCAAAATCTACGACGAGCAGAACCTCCCAGTTGCTACGTTCATTCATTTATTATCAACGCACAAGTTTCAATCGACAGCAGATACGTCTGCATAAAAATAGCAACTGCGGCATCGCCATCGCCATCGCCATCGCCGAAACAGTTACCGACTTTTCGACATCTAACGTTCATGAATGATGGCCGTACCGGGTAATTTATGCAGGATAAACGTGTCGCTGCCCCTGCCAGGTAGTTGCTCGTAGCAAAAGGTAAGCGCCATTGAGGGTAGAGGGCAGAAACTCATACGCGAATGGTATCGGTAGTCTATCAAGAACTCAGTCTATTACGCAGTCTATCAAGAACTCAGAGACCCCCCCTCGTTAAGACTAAAATGAGATAACTGTTTAAGTCGTTAACGCCATCACTTGTTGAAGCTGGCGAATTGCCTTGCCGAATTCCAGCCACGTGACCGGAATTCTGCCTCGTTCAACACCTGGTGCAGTAACAATGGACAGTGAACAAAATCCGTACAATATATGACTGAAGCCGACATCACGTGTACAAGTGGCGGCACAGAGAGAATCTGGTGTGAGTCTTGCGCTACTACAACCAGACGGCGGCTGACGGTCGACGACGAAGTTAGTCAGTGCGGAGTTCAAAAACGAGTCTCGGCGCTGTCTACGTTTTCGACCAGTGCATCGGCTGGTATCCGAAAATCTGAACCCGGACGTATCGCTGTTGTCGCCATGCACAAGAAGCAGAAGCGATCAGAAAAATGCTCATATAACTTCACTAAATACTTGTCTACATTTTAATTTAAATGTTACACAGTGATTACAACGCGTTTTGGAGGGCGTATTGGACAATCGTTTCATGACAAGAAGCATGTCGTTGTCGAGACAGTTAATGCTTGAAGAATTCTGACCAATGACTTCCTGCAAGTCAAATATGATCAACTTAGGGCAAGCAAAACTGCTAAGCTTACCGTATCCCAGATGACGATGACAAACAACAATTTCAACGATGTTGCAGCATGTTCCGGAAACGCTGTCGGGTATTCGAGCCGCAGTGGTAGCAGAAGTACCAGGGTTACTGTTTACTGAGCGACGTTCCCTCAGCGAGACACAGACGTTTTCGCTCAGCGACTGAATGGGCCGCGTGTTTTCAAGTAACAGATACAAACAGGTTGTCGCCGTAGCATGCAGCCGGACTGCTCAAGAACCAATGAACACATCCTTCCAGCAGTTAATCTACATGAACGCAGACTGAAAATATGCTAATTTCCGATTCGAGACATGCTGAATCTGTTAAGGCTCGGCTTGGCTTTGTTATGGTTAAATAAGTTCCGCCTTGCATTACTGAAAGTGATGAATTTGTATAACCTTCAATATGATCATCTTTTCAGTACGAATTCCAAGTGTGCTTCGTTCTGATTTACCATCGTAGCATTTGTAGAGGCTTTCGTCCACGGCAAAGGGCTGATTTTGGATGATCAATGGTGGCTTTTCTGATTTCCAATGACGACGCAAATCTTGAAATGCTCCGGACGGAAGAGAATTATTCACAGGCGACTGACGTAAGAAAAGCAAAAGCCGGACAGTGGTTGGCAGTCAACGTTGTTTTCCTGAATCCACATCATGAATCAATGTTAACCAACTTGCAGTTCTGCTAAAAGGCACTGTTCTGCCGATCTGTAGTCAAAATTCACCTCCACTACGAATCACCCTCACATCGTTGCGTTTCTAGCATTCACTGATATGCCACACGGTATCGAGTCTGAGTTGCAGTGCATCTAGAGGGTACGGTAGACGAAGCCCTGTTCGTAAACA